AAAAAGAAATTTAAAAAAGGAGTATTTTTTCTTGGGCTAAATTTAATTATGTGAGCAAATCCTAACTTGTAGGACAAACATTATTCAACAAGAATTTTCTGAGTTCTTACTAAGCACTATTCTCCTTTCAAAGCACTGGGGTAAAAACAGTAAGTAAGGCTGACAAGATTCTTACTGTCCTGAAGCTAAAGTAAACACAAAATAATTTAAAATTGCATCATAAAGATAAAAGAGGGTAACGTGATAGTTACTACTAAGGGAGGAGGGGATAACAGGGTAGTCAGGAAGGTTTCTTTGAGATTTAAGATAAAATTCAAGGTCAGAGTCAGCTTGGCTTGTTCAAAGAGTTCAAGGGCTGGAAATAGGCTATAGTTTACACACACACACACACACACACACACACACACCTCCAAATATCAAATACTTATGGAAGCTAGCAGAAGGTCAAGAGTTTGGGGAAAAAAAAAGTATTTACGTTATATATAATTAAGAAATGTTTTAATAAAATATATAAGTAGGATTACAGGTTTTTTTTTTAAGGTCCTTCATATTGACTATCCTCTGTGCTGAATGCTAGGATGTTAATTGAGCCACAGTAGATCTGTGTTTATCAAAGTTTTAAATGTGTGTTATAAATAAGAAAAGTACTTGTCACAAGATTTCACTACTATTTTGTTGCTCTCAAGGTTAGTATGTTGCATTGATAGGTACAAACTGGTCTTCAGCTCTCTGAACTAAACCAAGCCCCTTTTTTGCTTCAGGGCCTTTGCACAGGAAGTTGTTTTCTGAACAGTTCTCCCTGCACATCTTCCCCACTTTCCCCAACCCCAAATTGCTTATTCAGACTTAAGGTCTCGGTAAAGTGTTACTTTCTCAGAGTAGTCTTTTCTGAGCCCTCCTCCAGTTTAAATCACATAAACATCTTCTTCAAACCCTTTATATTCCCTTCAGAGAGCACATTACAAATTGTAAATACATCTTTTCTGTTAGTTCCTGTCTTCCCCATAATATACAGGTAGTCCTTGACTTATGATGTATTCGAGTTCTGAGGAACCACACTTATGACTGTCCGTCTTCTTTTTGGGGGGTACATCTTACCGTTAGCAATATGTACTACACACAATGTTGCAGTACATAATTTGCTAACGTTATCATTCTCAGATGTTCACTCGCAGATGTCCAGTTCTATGATTTACTGTTCAAAACACTGCTGTATAGATTTAGGTTTCTAAACTAAATCAGGGGCTTCAGCTGCTTGAAAACATGGACCCAAACGCTGATGGCTTTGCTAGAGCTGACAAATTTGGGAAGCAGTGAGATGTTACCGCGAGATATATGAAGGAAAAAAGAAAAGGACCATACAGACAACTCTCACTCATTTTCTGCCTAGAAACGCCATCCCCATTCCCAGGGATAATCTAGATGATCCAGAACGTTCCACAAGTGGAATTATTACTGCAACTGACAAAATGCCAACATTGTCCAACACTTTTTCGTCATCCGAGTACATTTTTATGATTTGTGTACTTTTTAATGTATGTATTAAAATAGACCAGTAAAAGTTTATATGAAATGTTCCAACCCCTAAAGACAAAAATTGGATTTATAAAGATAGATAATAAAAGGCAATAACAACGAAAACTAAAAGAAAATGAGGTGTTTGACTTATGTCAGAACTGACTTACAAGTTGTTGGAACAGAACCCTGTTGTAAATCAGGAAGTACCTGTAGTAAGTTCTATGAGAGAAGAGATCATATCTAGTTTTACTGTCAGGTTCTGAGAACCTAGCAGTATCTGGGACATAACAAATACTCAATAAATGTTTGTTCAATGAGGGATAAAGACGGTCAAGTGATTATAAATTATTCATCACTGACACATTTAAACATAACTGTTAAGGGTCAAGTCATAAGGTTAAATTTAATACAACATGATTTTTAGAGAGCAAATTTTGTTTTGAATATAAGTCACAGTTAATAGAATTTCTATTGAGAGAGATTTTAAAAAATATATAATACTTGAAATAGTGTTTATATGCTGGAGCTAGATTAGAAATGACCTTGCATCTGTGTTGCAATCACCCAAGCGTGAATAAGACACAGATCCTATTCACTGGAAAATGATGACTTAGTGAAAGAGCCATAAACAGCAAAGCATAACTCAGACAGATTGCAGTAAGTTTCAAGTGTAAGCCAAGCGTTACACGAAAAGAGAGAAAGTAGGGACGTTAAGAGCTCAGCTGCTAACCAACAGGTCGGCAGTTTGAATTTACCAGTTGCTCCTTGGAAACCCTCTGGGGCAGTTCTACTCTGTCCTATAGGGTTGCTATGAGTCTGAATTGACTAGACAGCAGTGGGTTAAAGAAGCCCTCGTGGCGCAGTGGTTAAAGCGCTTGGCTGCCAACCAAAGACTGATAGTTCTGTTGGAGGGAAAAAGATGTGGCAGTCTGCTTCTTTAAAGATTTACAGCCCTGGAAACACTATGGGAAGTTCTACTCTGTTCTACAGGATCACGATGTTGTTGCTGCTGTTAGGTAACATCAAGTTGGTTCTGACTCATGGTGACCCCACATATAACAGAATGAAACGCTGCCCGGTCCTGCACCATCCTCACAAGGCTTACTATGCTTGAGCCCATTGTTGCAGCCACTGTGTCAATCCATCTCCTTGAGGGTCTTCCTTATTTTTGCTGACCCTCTACCAAGCATGTCCTTCTCCAGGCACTGGTCCCTCCTGATAACATGTCCAAAGTATGTGAGACAAAGTCTTGCCATCCTCGCTTCTAAGAAGCATTCTGGCTATAAGTCTTCCAAGACAGATTTGTTCCTTCTTTTGGCAGTCCGTGGTATATTCAACACTGAGTTGGAATTAACTCAACAAACGGGTTTGGTTTTTTTTTAAGGAAGGACATAGGAATTACTGGATATCGAAAATGGTTAAGTGCTACCTGAAAGGTTGGTGGTCCAAACCTACCCAGAGGTGCCTAAGTAAAAAGGCCTGCTGATCTGCTTCCGAAAGGTCACATTCTTGAAAACCCTATGGAACATAGT